GACAATGAAATCAAAACTTCAAGAAGAGCTTCAAGAAGTTGAACGTCTCAAGCAAGACTTGCGCTCAAAGTTGAATGCTCTTGATGAGAAACCGGTAAAGAAAAGAGCTTCAAGGGCGATATCCCCTGACCCATTGAGCAAACTCGAGAATAAATATGCACAAGGTCAAGTGAAGATGAAGGAGGATGTGACCAGGCCTCTGACTACTCCGAACAAGGATCATCGGTCAAATCGATTGTCTACAATCAGCTCTATGGACCCTAAGTTTTTGAAAGAGTTATCGACGAAGGTCAAAAAGGCAGAAGCAATTGCAGAATCAGAAGAAGATGACGAAGATGAAGAAAGTGCTGATCTGGGTAAGTTATATGAGGTTCAAAAGGGGTCTAAGAACGATGAAACGATCAATCTTTCAACGCCCCCTGTCTCAATGGGAAGTGTGCCGCCGCCACCACCACCACCGCCATTTCCGCAGGCACTTTTAAAATCAGGAACACCATCTTCTCCTCCACCACCACCACCACCACCGCCTCTTCCTTCGGCTTTGGGTAGGTCTTCCACGTCACCTCCACCTCCCCCTCCACTCCCGTCAACTTTTGGTGTTGCACCACCGCCACCCCCACCCCCATTACCATCAGCTCTGAGTAACAGTATGAGTTCACCTTCACCGCCACCGCCGCCACCGCCACCATTTCCAGTTATGTCAAAAGCTGCCGTGTCACCAATACTACCTGTGTTGGAGCAAGGACCGTTCGATAATTTCCCAAGACCAAAGAAAAAATTGAAGCAATTGCATTGGGAGAAGGTCGAGGCAGTGGACCATTCATCGAACTCTTTCTGGAATAATTCAGAGCCGCACTCTATCGCCACTGATTTGATGGACAAAGGGGTTTTGGATGAGATTGAGACCATTTTTGCTGCAAGAGAAATAAAGAAGTTGGCTACGAAGAAGAAAGAAGAAATCGACAAAGTTTCTTTCTTGGCAAGAGACGTGGCACAGCAATTTGGAATCAACTTGCATTTCTTCAATTCTCTAACTGATGTTGAAGTTGTAAGGAAGGTTTTAAGATGTGATAAAGATGTCATGGAGAATGCAGCAGTTTTGGAGTTTCTTGCAAAGGAAGAAATCGTGGAGGTACCCAACAGCTTAGCTATAAGTTTGCAACCATACTCGACTAACTATGATGCCGACGAGATTTCCAAACCCGAGAAGGATCCAAATGAATTGCAAAGACCAGACAGAATCTATTTGGAGTTAATTTACAATTTGCTGCATTACTGGAAATCGAGAATCAGGGCTTTAAAAACCATTTCGAGTTACGAAAAAGACTATGAAGACTTGGTAAAAAAGTTGAGATCCATTGACGCTGCAGTGAGCAGTATTAAGCAATCAAAACATCTACGCAGTGTTTTCGACATTATTCTTGCAGTCGGAAACTACATGAATGACACATCCAAGCAAGCTAAAGGCTTTAAACTTGGGTCCCTTCAAAGATTGGGGTTTGTCAAGGATGACAAAAATAGCATGTCATTTTTACACTACGTCGAGAAGACGATCAGAACTAATTATCCTGAGCTTTTGGGTTTTTTGGAAGAACTTTCAGTGTGCGCCGAAGTTGCAAAGTACAGTATTGAAGTGATATCTATGGATACAAAAGAGTATGCACAACTGATCAAGAATGTCCAAAGCTCTATTGATATCGGCAACTTGAGTGATGTATCCAAATTCCACCCGCAAGATCGTGTCTTGAAATTGGTGACACCAATATTGCCTAAAGCAAAGAAAAAGGCAGAAATGCTCTTGGACCAGGCAAATTATACACTCAAAGAGTTTGATAAGTTGATGCTTTATTTTGGGGAAGACCCAACAGATTCTTTTGTCCGCAATGCATTCATCAGTAAGTTCACGAATTTTATGACAGACTTCAAGAAGGCGCAAAGGGAAAACATGAAGCGTGAAGATGAGTTGAAGGTTTATGAGCAAAGGAAAAGGTTACTTGAGGTTTCCAGCAAACAAGAGGCATCGAAACAAGAAAACTCGGATTCCGATACAGAACGAAATGTCATGGATTCTTTGCTTGAGAAGTTGAAAGCCGCAGGTTCAGAACGTGGCGAGCCGACTCTGGCAAGAAAGAGAGCATTGATGAGAAGGCATATTTTGGAAAATGGAAAAAACAGGGAGAACGCATCTCTGCAAGACAATAGTCCAAGAAAAGCAGGCAATGAAGAAATTATAGATCTAACTGATGCTGACGATGATGTCGGTGCGAGAGCTAGGAATCTACTACAGGAGTTTCGAAAGGGAGATTCCACGGAAATTATCACACCTGAGGCAGGCCGGGCTAGCCGCGCGGCGGAGTTCAGGCAACAGAGGAACAGAAAAAAGTTTGGGCAACCTATTGCAGATGCTGAACCTGATCGGCAGATGGAAAGAACGCCCTCGAATAACTCGTCTGAGGGTGGTGAGTAGCTGAGTGTGATCCTGCTGGTCTGCCTGCTGGTCGATCGTACTGTTGAGTATATTTGATTTTTGCTTTGGCTGATGACGTTTGTCACCCACGGGTCTGTAAGTATATACTCCATAAACATGGTCTGATCACAAAAGAATACCTGACCCACTTGATCTAGATAGTTCTTCGATATCACAATCAATCAATTTCTCCCTGTTTTCGTCAAAATCGAAGAACGGCTTGTAAACTGATAGAAAGCCCTTACCCGTGATCTTATCCAGGAAGGGTCTGTCTAGTCTTTCCATGATTGTATCAATCGCGTTGCTTGCAGGTATGTTGTGTTCGATGGCCAAATTTTGTTTGAGCACTTCTAGCTCAGTGTCGTGTTCAGACACGGGATTGAAAGCAACAACCTGGCCATTTACTGCCACACAAGAGATCTGTCTGTCCTGGGGATCCTTTTCATCCCAAAAAGCATTGAAACCGGTAGTATAAACCCGTGGAATCATGGAGAGGGTGTAAGAAAAGCCTGGCAGGGGAGATGGCTTATCTAGGTCGAAAACGCGCAATGCAGAGAACAATTTGTCCCCCGCCACGAGCTTTGTCTGAATAGCTGTGGCATTCACCAAGCTCCGTGAGGTTGGGTCTTTAAATATCACGTTGAGCTCATTTGGGCCTTTCTCGGATGACTCCAACAAATTGAGATCTTCGGCATTCTCGGTGTACTTGAACGCTAGAACCGAGTCTTTTTGGGTATTCACCAATATAGTGTCGTCGCCCGCAACGCCAAGATTTGTGACTTCAGAGGAAAGTGTCGCAAGTTTTTTCACCGGGTGAAATCTCTTGTTCTCGAGACTATACGACGTGGAGTACACGCAACAGCCCGAAGAAAAGAAGACCGTGGAGCCAATCTGTTGGATGGAAGAGATAGCCTTGTCTCTGGATATCGACCACAACTCCACGACTTTGACGGTGGGGACACGCGACCCCTCTAGCAAGACTTTGCTTATATCCAAGATCTTCAAGGAGCCACGGTTACCTTCTGTTGAAGTCCCCACAATGAGTTTCTTGGACACACGCTCGTTTCGATTAATGTGCCACACCAATGCACAGGTGGGAGTCTCTGACGGAGCAAATATCCAATCGCCCCTGTCAGCCCCAGTTTTGGGGTCTATCTCCACAGAGGGAAGTATTCGGAAACCCTTTCGATCCGCGAACTTGAGCCTGGCCTGCTGGCTCTTTGATTTGCACAAGATCACGAAGAGATTCGACGTGTCGAGAAAAAGTAGTTTCTTTGCCGGCTCGCCAATGCCAAGTTGCCTCACGAGGGGTCTTTCGTGGCAGAACACGGAGCCAATCACCAAGCCGTCTTCCCGCAAAAAGGCGAAGCGCAAGTGCTGAGATTCGTCGGTGGGAAGCTCGACCATCAGCGATACTGACCTTTCCGATTTCTCGTCGAAGCTCACTCTCGCGGGCTTTTGCAGGGCGTAGAAATTGAAAAGCCACAAGTTCCGCATGCAAGCAAAGAGCAAGTGCGGGTCGTTCTTGCTGAGCACCAACTTGACGGGCGTGATGCCGAGCGCCAACGTCTGGCAGAGCCGCGGCGCCAGCGGTTGGTCAAGATCAAACTCGAAGAAGCGCCCCAGCTTCGTTCCGACGTAGAGCTTTGACGTGATGGTTGAGAGCGCCACGTCGTGGGGTATTGCCGGGCCTTCCGTGGTGGACGGGCGGAATAGCGCGTTCAAGTCGAGCAGGCACACGGGCGAGCATTCGTTCGTGTCGAGGTCAAAGCGAAGCAAGCTGAGGACGCCCAGGAAGGAGCCGCGTGCAATGACAATGGACGCGGGCGTCTCAAAACAGCGGAGCATGCTGAGCTGGCCGGCGCCGGGGGTGTCGCCGGGGGTGTCGCCGGGGATGTCGCCAGGGATGGAGGCCACCACGCGGAAAAGGGACTCGTCCAGAAGGAGATCCCCCGGGGCGGCCCAGTCGCGCACTGGCGCGAGGCGAACGATCTCGAGCGTCACGCGGCCGTCCTTGCGGACGGCTAGCACGGCACGACCTGCCGCGGAGTCCGCGAACACGATGCGCGAGTCCGTGAGCCGCGAGGTTTTGGAGCGCTCCAAGTCCGTGGCGGAGACGGTGCGCTCGGTGAACTGGAACCAGACATCCGAGCCCGGGACCGCCGCGCAGGCGAGCGTCGGCTCGTCGCGGTGGAAGTGCGCGGCGGTGGGCTCCACGAGCTCGGCCTCGCCGGCGTCGCCGGCCTCCGGCACGTAGCGGAACACGCGGGACTCGAAGGGCAAGGAGCACACCAAGCTCTGGGCGGCCGCGCGCAGGACGAGCGCAAGCCCGCCGGCCTTGCGCAAGGCGTCGAACGTGCGCAGCTCGCGCCGCACCATGTAGCCCGCGCGGAGGCGCGAGAGCTTGCAGCGCCCGCCCAGGCCCGCGAGCGCCCAGAGCTCGTGGGAGGAGGCCGCGGCGCACGAGCGCGGGGCCGCGGCGGGCACCACCAGCACGTCCACCACCGGGGCCCAGCTGCGGTGGGCGTGGAGAAGCGTGGCCGCAGAGTACGGGATGCGGCCCGTGCGGGCATACGCGTCCGCGGCGTCCGGCGCGAAGAGGCTGGCGAGGAAGAGCGTCCGCGCGCCCGCGGAGTCACCGGCGTACGTGAGGACGTAGCCGCCGCCGGCCGCGGCGTGGTGGAGCGCGAAGCTCGAGATGGCGCCGGCCACCCGGAGCACCGGGCGGCACGTGAGCGTGCCGTCCGCGGTCGCCACCACGGAGTACACCACGCCCGCCGCGGAGGCCACGAACACCTCGTCAGCCGCGCCGGCGCCGTGCGGCGGCACGAAGTGCGCGGTCGGGAACGCGCCGCCGTACGCGCACTCCACGAACAGGTGGTCCGCGGACCACACGTGGCTGGGCGTGACCACCACGAGCCGCGCCGGACACACGAAGAGGAAGCCGCCGCACGCCGCGAGCGGCACCACCATTGCCGGGCACGGGAACGCGCGCGGGAGCGGGAGCGTGCTGCGCCGGAGCGACGCGCCCACCGGCTCGCCCGCGCGCCAGCTGTACACGGCCACGGCCAAGCGGCGCGAGCGCGAGCGCACCACGGCCAAGAGCACCACCGCGCCGCTGTCCGCGGCGCCGCGCGGCGCCGCAAAGCACGTGTGGAGCACCGCGCCGCCCGCGGGCACGTTGGTGTGCGCCAGCATCTGCCAGCCCAGCGCCGTGTTCTGGCACGTGTGGATGCGCACGCCCGCGGCCGCCGTGCCGCACGCCACGGCTTGGCCCTGCGCGTGCACGGCGAGCGTCCAGGCCGGCGGCGCCGCCCGCGCCGTGGCGCCGAGCCGCCACCACTGCACCACGAACGGCCGGAACACGTGCGACGTGGCCAGCGGCGGCGCAGCGGCGGCGGCGGCGTGCGGCGGCCTCCACGCGCGCGGCACCCGCCACACGCGCACCACGAGCTGCACGCCCGAGCAGAGCACGAGCACGAGCGAGTCGTCGGGCGCCGGGGCGTGATCTGGGCCGCGCACGACCGCCGCCGCCGCCACGCCCGCCGGGAGCGCGTGCTCGGCGCCGGCCACGAGCACCAGCGTGTGCTTGACGAGCACCTCGACGGTCTCGCTGCGCGGCGGCGGCGCGGCGGGCGAGGCGGCGGGCGCGTGGTTGGCGAGGCCGAGGAGCGCGTCGTCGTCGCTCCAGTCGTCGCCGAAAAACGAGTCTGGGTCGGGGAAAACGTGCGTCTGTGCGCGCTCGTCGCCGGCGCCCGTGGCGGCGGGCCCGGCGGGCGGCTTGGTGACACAGACGCGGAACTGTGGCGCCACATGGACCACCACGGGCGACTGCAACAACGTCTTTTTGGTGTACGTGGAGGCCGGCGGCGGCGGCCGGGGCCGGGAGACAAAGAGCCCGGGCAACGCCGGGGCAGCGGCGCGCGGCGGCTGGGGGGGCGGGCCGAGGCTGCCGGGGTCCATTGGCGTGGGGCGTGGGGGAAGAAAGGAGTATCAGTTGGGCGGCTGGAGTTTGGCTTGCACCCCGCGGGCCATGGGCTGTGTGCAGGACGGCTGTAAAACCGGCGCCGGTGGCCCCCGTTCCAGGGCGGCTTTTTTTAGACAGGGTGTGGTTTATTGTGGGGGTGTGGTTTATTATGGGGGTGTGGTTTCTTGTAGGGGCGTGGTTTCTTGTAGACATGGTGGACTTGGCTTATTGTAGACAGTGGTGGACTTGGGGTCAGAGCGGGTAGTGAGGAATGATGGGCTGGACCCGCCTCCATGTATAGGGGCATACGAGCAATTGATCCATCTATGTTTATCTGGGAGCGGGGATATCGTTTAGACCGGGAACCCCTAGGGAAAATGAGTTCTTTTTTAATTCGCTGTACTAAAGATATGGCTTTGTAGATGCAAGGACGGGTTCTTTTTGGGCCACTGCGAACCTCGACTGCTAGGCCCCATAACCCAGGCCCAGGCCCAGGAGTTGTCCATCATAATAATCTAGGAACGATTGAAATAGAAATATCAGTTTAGATAGAACAATTCCACAATAAAAAAGTAGATCGAACAATTCCACAATAAAAAAGTATGTTGAAGGAAAAAAAAACAATTATTTTCTTATGAATTAGCTGTACCGTGGAGATGGCTCGGCAGATGCAAGGACGGATTCCCTTTGGGCCGCTACGCACCCCGACTGCCTAGTCCCAGGATTAGGCCATTCATGTTAATTCAAAACAAATGCAGTAGATATATAGGTTAAGAAGAAACTCATAATGCGAAAATCATAGAATGCATTTCCTCCAAGCTACAGCGTACCTCAATACCCCCAGGCCTTTTTTCCCAGGTCCCATTACCCAGGCCCCATTACCCAGGCCTATAGCCCGCGCGCCCGGCCCTGGCCCCATGACCCAGTAGTTGTACATTCATGTTAATCTAGGAACGAATAAAGTAGAAATATAATCTTATATAAAAAGGTTCACAATACAAAACTATAAAGATTATTTTCTTGGGGCTACAGCGAACCTCAACAGCCCCAGGCCCCATAATTCAGGTCCCATAATCCAGGTCCCATAATCCAGGTCCCATAACCCAGGCCCATGCCCAGCCACAGTAGTTATCCTTTCATAATAATCTAGGTACGATTAAAATAGAAATATCAGTTTAGATAAAACAATTCCACAATAAAAAAGTCTGTTGAAGGAAAAAAAGCATTTTTCTTCCTATTTATTAGCTGTACTAAAGATATGGCTTCGTAGATGCAAGGACGGATTCTTTTTGGGCCACTGCGAACCTCGACTGCCCAGGCCCCAGACCCAGGCCCAGTAGTCGTCCATTCATGTTAATCTGAAAAGAAATAAACGAGATATGTAAGTTAAGACGAAACTCATAGTACAAAAACTATAGAAAATATTTCCTCTAAGCTACAGCGTACCTCAATACCCCCAGGCCTTTTACCCCAGGCCCCATTACCCAGGCCTATAGCCCGCGCGCCCGGCCCTGGCCCCATGACCCATTCTAGCACAGACGAGACTCAAAGAACATAAATCATACAAAAAATAAACCCTGATAAAAATACTAAAGACCTTCACCAGAGAGCTCTTTTCTCCTAATCACCCCAAACAATCCAAAAACATGCCACACAAAACCCACAATGAAAATGACGCAAATTTACTGCCTATTTCGTCGCTGTTCGGTTTCCTTTTCTACTGTTTGGAAAATTCTGAAGACGAATACAGGAGACAGAAATTTACGTGGAGGCGACAAGTCTGGAGTGCGGGGAGCTCAACAAATAGCACTATGCAATATGCCTGCGGAGGTTATTTGTAGTGAAAGTCTAGCCATACTGGGGCTTTTGGGAATGTTTAAGTGTATAACACTGCGGGTTTTGTAGGGAATGTCTACCGTGCTGGGATTTTTTGGGAAATTTTCTATATGGCACTGTTTGTTTGTAGTAGATGTCTAGGTATATGGATACTGCAGTTTTTATGGCGAATATCCATCTACATAGTACTGCAGGTTTTTGGAGCCAATATTTGACCATGTTTAACCATATAATAATACCACAGGTTTTTTGCAGCGAGTATTTAGCTATATTGCAGTTTTTTTGCAGCGAATTTTAAGTTATATTGCAGATTTTAGCAACAAATGTTAATCTATATGGCGCCGCGGATGTGTCTAGCTATATGGATACTGGAGTTTTTGCAGCTAATATCTAGCTTAAGAAAGCTGAAGGCTTTCCAAAAGGCTTTTGTTTGATGGATCTCAATATTAGTATTAAAATCGCAGACAATTAAGTGGGTGAATTCGAATCATGGGCGTGTGAGAAAGTAGGCGAGATCATATTGGGCATTAGCCATTTCGATTTCCAGTATCTTGAGTCCCACCAAACGAATACAAATGATTCAAGCGCTCAAAACAGCATGATCAAAGAACCCGGTCCGAACAGAATATACTTCATCTGCAGAAGCATAAAATCGGGAAGCCTTGCCAGCAGACTGCAGCCTGCGAGTTATTTCGAATCACTCCGTACGTAGACAGATGCTTCAAAACTTTCCGATATTATCTGACGAGGTTTTGACACCATGTACGTCTTTGGGCTGGAGTTTTCATATGGTTGCTTTTGATACAGGTTAGTTTGCAAGATCGTAAAGACATCAACAACAAACTGCGAGCTTCTCAAATTGATTCGATGTATCCAGAAATGAGGCATCAAGGATATTCGACACTGCCTGTCGGCTGTCCATTACCTTGTCGGATATAGAAGAAAAAAATGGACGGAACTCAAAAGAACGGTACTTTCGACTGTTCATTGTGTAAGGACATACAGAAGCTGATGTAGCTGCGATGGAACCAGAATGTAAACCTGGAATGCCGGTAGTATCACGCTAACACTGGGGTCGATATATTGGTTTTCGTTCTTGTGGTTGCTTCAGATTTCATAAAACTCTTCTGGGACCCAGGATCGTCTTTTACGTGACCCTTAGACTGTGCATATATAGGAAAAGATTCTTTGAAAGCTCTGGATCTGTGATGAGCAGGCATACAAAGCACACCATGCAGAGTTACTCTCAACGAGAACATGAAAACAAGTTGTATCAGCTGTGGTGAGCAAGCTGATGTTTTACTATGCATATAAAGGTTTTCGAGATGGATACTTGTTATATTCGCAACATGTACTCACTCATCTACATATGCATTGGCGAGACGTTTTCAGTAGAGCATCTACGGATCATGGCCACATTGTTTATCAGATGGCTTTTTTACGGGGTCTTCCGATGACGCTTCTTCAGGCCTGTTCAATGGCATTTGGGGCTGAATCCCGCATGAAAACAGTGGGAGTCACAGGGGTTTCAATCATGGTCATTCAGTCTAGGTGGCCATATCTAAGTAAAATTATATGAATCATGGAGCTTGATTTCTAAACCCGTTGAAGGATATCTGGTTTTTGCATTATGTGGATCAATATCGGGTGTTGGGCACAACCCGATCTCGGAAGCGATTGCAGTAATGGTTTACGACGAAATGAAGTAGAATAAAAGAAATGGACAAACACTTATCGGTGCCGACCAATTTGTATTTAGGTTAGTTCAGTACAATTTACGAAAGTGCGCAACAGTGTTTCATTTTTTGTAAATGAGGTGTAATGCGGCTTAAATCTGGCACACTGGCTTTGAATTTGCTGCCTATAAAATCAGCAACGTCTTCAACACATTTTAATCTTGCTTATGTAGAAATTCATTCACCTTCTCTACTTGATTTAATTCTCGCGTTTCCAAAATAAACCGTGCTTCTTTTTTGAAAGACATTAATGCTTCTACCCGGGCGCAGGAAGGCCTAAAGCCCTGGATGCCGGGTCACGTGCGCATTTGAGGCACGTGCGCCACGTCACGTGCCGGGCTGCTCCGCCAGGCCCTGTGGGTACTGGCGGTCTGGGTCTGGATCTATCTACCCCTTTTTAGCCTGGATGTCCCAGCCAGCTTCCCAAAAAGAACCGTCTCTTTAAAAAAAGCCTCTTTTTGTGGCGCTGGCTTATTCCACCTCTGCCGTTCAGGGTGCGCACCGGCCTACAGGCGGACTTCGCGTGCAGCAATATTCCATCTTTTTGCACCCATTTCTCCATGACCAGAGCATTCCATCACAAGGCGCTCGTGATTGTGCCTGCCCTCTACGGGCTCCTTCTTAGCCTGGACCGCGCCACACTTGTGGCGTTTCTGGCCAACGAGCACTTGGGCCAGGTATTTGCCAACACCTCTGTATTGGGCGTGGCCATGTTGGTGGGAGCCTGTTCTTTGGGAGCTGCCGGTATGTACAAACACTAGGAGGGAAAGAAGACGACATAAGAAGAAGGTGAATAATGTATGAGGTAGAAAGGGAAGAAAGGAACACATAAAAGAGAAGGAGGAAATAAAAGGGAGGGGGGGGGTCGAATGGATCAGAGAAGGAAGATGAGGAAGAAGAAACAAGCAAGAAAGAGCGAGGGAACGGAAGGGAGCTGTGGGTCCAGCCATCCAGGGCTCTTCTGTGCGATCTTCCTATTTGAGTCTTGTTTTGGTCCCTATTTGAGTCTTGTTTTGGTCCCTATTTGATTCTATTTGAGTCCCCGCTGGGTATTTGGGCGGGACTGGGCATCTGTTCTTGCCTCACTCGTTTTATTGAAACGGGCTCGTATGATGCACCCATACTCTTTACTGCATCAGGCTCTTGTGCCAGGCTTCTCTACTGGCCGTGCTTCCATCCCCGGTCCATACTGACCCCAGCCTGTGGCACGGCCCCGGGATCAATAAAAACCAAGCCCCCAAATGTCCAACAGCCCAGCAACCCAAACATCCCAAACAATCCCAGCATCCCAAACTATCCAAACACCCCCATAGGTCAAACCACCCCAAAGACTAAGCTGCCTGCCCACTCCTATCATTTCTCCCCCTTCCCTCTCTCCCCATTCCCTCCGCGTCTCTGCCCTCACACCAAACCTCGCTACTAACCCCACAGTGTCCGCACTCTTCACCGGCCAGCTCTGCGACCGTTTTGGCCACCTCCATTTGATGCGGCTTGCCGGGTTCCTCTGGTGCCTGGGCTGCCTCGGCACGTACTTCTCGCCAGAAAACGTCTACATCGTGCTCTGCAAGTTGGGCAAGGGCTTCGGCCTCGGCATGGCCAGCGTCGCCGTGCCGCTCTATGTCTTCGACGTGCTCGTGGCCCCATACCGCCAGCTGGCCATTGGATGGGCCGCTGCCTTCAGCATCTTTGGCCAGGCCGCAATGTACGCGTTTGGCATTCTCCTCCGCACCACACTTGGCAGTGCCGTGGACGCGTTCCACTACTCGTGGATAGCAGAGGTCTTCTGGGGCGTCCTCCTCGTCGGGCCGTCGCTTTTCCTCCCGGACTCGCCGAAATTCCTCGCCCGCAAGGGCCAGTGGGAACGGGCCACAGCCAGCCTTGAGCGGCTCTCGCTGCAGAAGAACCTTTCGCTCACGTCCGTGCCCTTGCAACCCTCGACTTTCGGCGACTTGTTCCGCCGCGAGAACAGAAAAAGATTCTTTTTTGCCGTGGCGCTCCAGGCCATGGCCCACGGGGCTTGCGTTTTCGGCGCCACGCACTTCATCCACTACACGTTGGCGTTCTGTCGCTTGGACACCGCGTTGGTCGAGACCTTGTACGGCGTGTTCTTCGCCATCCAGCTCCTCTTCACTGCTCTCTCCGTGTTTGTCATGAAGAACTCACGCAGGAAGGACATGCTTGCCTACGGCTTCTTTCTTCTCACCGTGGCCTTCTCCTCCTTGGGCGCCACCAGCTACGTGTACGCCACCGGCTCCACCAACTACTTTGTCTATGCCCCCGTGGTACAGGTCAGCCTCGTGGCGGCGTCCACGGTGCTTGCGCTCGTGGGCTTTGCGTTTTCCGTGGCCTCGCTTCTCATCACGTCGCTGTCTTTGCTGTGCACGCTTGAAACGCTCCCCTGCGACTTGCGGGCCAAAGGCGTGTCCATTGCCATGTCCACGGCCTGGACTGTCGAGACGCTTGCGGCCACCTTGAGCATCGGACTCACGCACATTGCGCCGTTTGCGCTTTTCTTTGGGTTGGCCGTCGTGAGCGTTGCTGCCATAGTCGTCACCTTGTATGTGTACGAAGACCAGGGCCCGGTCCAGGGCCTCCCGTTCCCACTCGACGTGTTGGAGAACAGCGAGCCGGAAGAAAAGCCCGAGTCGCCCGCAGGCTCCGCTGCGCCGCAGGTGCTTCTAGAAAACGTGAATTCCGACAACTCGTCTGGGTCGGACTCCATACGCCAGAAGACGTTCCAGCCGCAGAACTTCATCTCGATCCACAAGCGGTCCAACGACGTGTCGTCTTCGGACGTGCCTGCCTTTTCTGTGTCGCGTCCTGGCAGAATATCCACGGGCAAGTCGGAATTCACCGGATCGCAGATGAAAACGGCCAACACCCGTTTCCCACTGCAAGCCGAGACAGGCCAGCCGGATGACAGAGACGCGGATTGCAAGCTTTGGGGCTCGACCCACAGCCACAGAGTGAATTCGTACAAGACCCTCGATTCGAAGGTGACTGTCAGTGGCATGTGGTCGGAGGTGAGCGACCAGGAAGGCTGAGGAGACTGCTGAAGGCCGGGATGATCATGAAATTGAGAACATGGAGATTTCAGGGCCAAATGTGCGCCTACGGCTTTCTTTTTCGGATCTGACTTCGGCCTGCGCCATGGTGCATAGCAGAATAGCATGAAAATAGCTTGAAGGAGTGCAATAAGGAAACAGACGTGGAGCAGAATATTCAGAATTCTTGGGAACTGTAGTAGAAGGGCCTGAATAATAAGCCGTCAGCAGCTTCACTGAATATGGTTTATATTTAGACATGCATGACATGATACTAAAACATGCCTATGACTATTGGCACGGAGGACTGCAGAAGCTCGAAGAAACTAAAGAGTGCCTTGAATCTCGTCAGGGCCTGATGATCTTCACCAGAGTGAGACTACTCAGAACAGCTAGGAAAATCCATAGTTTTCCCATTTAATTGAGTGAAGGCTTAATTTTTCTGTTGGCCAAGAATTCGTCCCGGTCTTGAATAAAGTATTCCTCGAGTTGACGTCGACTATCATGCAGAAGTGGGATACCCTGGGGGCATGCAACAGGAATCAGGTGAATAATATGAGAAGATCAGATAAATTATCCTGGAATTGGACATATAATATGTAAACATCCTGGAAACAACCTCTGTTTAGCACATTGAGCTCGTTCGAAAGAAGTGGCTTGTTTTCAGTAAAGGGCTTTCCTTGTGCGGTAGCTGCCTCATTTTCACCAAGCCCAAATTTCAGATTAATGGCTTTGGAGATCTTTCGCCTATTGAGTGGTCTTCGAGAGAAGTATAAGGCATTGGTATCTCTTCCTTTATACTGTTTGATGTTTGTGTATGGCTGCGCATCAGCTACTAGTTGTCACTGTAATAATCTTTAATTTATAGGGTAATTGATTCGTACTGCAGCTCCTCATTTTCATCAATACATACCAGTTCCTAGGAATGGCCATTTGAACGGCAGTCCTCATAACAATACTGGCTTGCACTCCTTTGAATTTATGACATAAGAGTCAAAGGAAAAACCGGTTAAATAAGCGCTAACCATTGAAGCATCACTTAATTGCACGATACATATAAGCCTCAGAGACTAATCATGCCAAAGAACCATATTTCGCAGAGCTTGAAGTTTTGAGCAGGAACTTTTAAGTCGTGCATCCCCTGTTTTGATACAGTTGCTTATAGACAAACAAATGCTACTAAATTATGATCCTTACAAATAAAACTGAAGTAATGAAACAAAAAACCCAGAAACTTGTGTTCTATCAATGTTCCTAGTATTAGCCCTGTGCAATAGTAGGCATGATGCTGAAAAACAAAAAATATCAAGCTGTGCGCATCTGGAAAAACCAAAGAGGATTCCAAGTAGTTCTCTGATTTCTACTTAATCATCATGTCCCAGTCTTTTGCTCCACTACTTTGAACGCCCGACTCCGTACGTGCAGAACACGTGACCAGAAAGCTCTCTGGTCTGTGCCCATCACGTGATCCTGCCCCAGCACTGATCTCCGGTCCTCTTTAACAAGACATAATACCCCATTCAAGCCACCGCCCAATGTCTGGATACACTCAAATCCAGCCCGACGTATGTACTTTGAACTAACAGCAAACACATCCAAGCTCAATTATTTACTAACTGCCTCAGTCCATAGAGCCTGACTCGCCGCAGCTCGCCCAGCCCAATGGTACGTATTAATAAAGGCCACCGAGGCTCCATTACAAAGCACAAAATCAGTGTATTCAGACCACTAATTTCCAGAAACAACCTCCGGCAGCATCCAGGAGCCACAGACCACGACGTCAAAACCAGCTGGCAGCGGTGGGCTTCGCCAGGTCAGTTTTTATAGCCGTTTTTTCGACATTAGTACCGAGGAATTTTCTTAGGGATGTACTGTTTGATCTTAGGGATGTACTGTTTTATCTTAGGGATGTACTGTTTTATCTTAGGGATGTACTGTTTTATCTTAGGGATGTACTGTTTTATCTTAGGGATGTACTGTTTTATCTTAGGGATGTACTGTTTTATCTTAGGGATGTACTGTTTTATCTTAGGTATGTACTGTTT